TTAACTGTTCATGGTCTCCAGTTATTGCGCACTCGACCAGTGTAAACTATCGTTTTCAACACGATTGCGAGTTGGGGCACTATACCCATACCCAGGGGAGGGTGGTCATACTATCCAATAGCAACGGAAATTAATTCAACGTTGAATCAGCGCCACTCTTGGCTATTGTGCCGAGTGAGACAACACTTCACACAATATTATTAATGTTACCACAAAGCTTCACGAACACGTCATTTATCCAAAACTGTTGTTTGGCGTGAAGCCTGCGAGGAATATTATTGCTTGCAAGTGATTTGTTTCAACAAATTAAATATTAACTTAGTGTGTGTGGCAGAGAGGGGCGCTGGTCCTCCGCCACACCACCACCACCACCACGTCCAAAGGTGTGGTGCTGCTGCTAGACACGGTTTCTCACTCTGTGTAGCCTCTCTTTTTGTTATTATATAACATATATATATATATATATATATATATATATATATATATATATATATATATATATATATATATATATATATATATATATATATATATATATATATATATATATATATATATATATATATATATATATATATATATATTAATAATAATAATAATTATGCGTTGGAGTTTTGCCTTTTTTGCCTTGAAGTTGTGAATGGAGGCGACTACTTCCACTTTTAGTGCATCCCACATGATCACCCGTAAAAGTGGTGGTGGTGATAAGGCCTGATAGTGTGCCCTTGAACAAGTGATGGTGCAACCCATTCTCGCACTTAAGTATAGTCAATATTGACTTATTAAATACGTGCATATGTGACATACTTAACATACTAGTTTACCTTGAAAAGCTTCATAGAAAACACCGACTTTACCTAACCTTCTTAGTATGTTAAGATAAGCATCTTATTGCTTTGTAATTACAATTATTACTTAACCTATTATAGGTATGGGTTCAGTAATAATTGTAATTATGAAACAATAAGATGCTTATCTTAACATACTAAGAAGGTTAGGTAAGGTCGGTGTTTTCTATGAAGCTTTTCAAGGTAAACTAGTATGTTTAGTATGTCACATATGCACGTATTTAATGTCAATATTGACAGTGAGAAAGTGCGAGCACGGGTTGGATGGTGACTGATCTAGTATCTCCCACTTCAATAACCCCTGCATCATCCTGATCACTATTTTACCCGGCAGCATGCTGGCGTGATTAAATCAGGATTGTGGTTTGTTGATCTCGGCTAAATAAGGATATAAAGGTAAAAATTAACTATCTGTAAGAGATTATCTTATTTTCACGATTGCGAGACCACATGCTTGGCAAATGATCTAATTACCAACATCAATATGGAACACTTGTTTACTGAGAATTACACTACTGTATATATAATGTAGTATTTCCTTGTAAAATTGATATATACAATAGAAATCATATATTAATAGATACAAAAAAAATACAATCTCTCTGCAGCCATTAATAGGGCATTCACAATGCCCTATGGGTAACGATAAATCAATATGGTATAAACGTTGATTCAGCCAAAGTGGGTGCAACATGCAAGAGAAATATTAACGCAGCATTAACGTCATCAGCGTTGATTCTGCATCGAACCAACGTCACTCTTGGACGTTGTGCCCACCGAGATGTTACATCAACGACATTTGCCCTAGATTTGTACCAGGGGTTAAAGCTAGGTTCCGTTGATGTAGAGTAATGCCAAGTTCCGCTGGTGTTGCAGATATTGACTAATGCCGGGTATACCACTCGTACTGCAGGTGGCGGAAGCGGCATCGGGCGAGCCATCTGTCAGGTGTTGGCCAGGGACGGTGCCAACGTGGCTGTGGCTGACATCAATCTCCAGGGAGCCCAGGAGACTGTCAGCATGTTACCTCGTAAGTCCACTCCACCGTCAGAATGTTACCTCGTAAGTCCACTCCACAGTGGACTTACGAGGTAACATGCTGACGGACAATTCAACGCCCAGTGAGCATGAACGTTGATTCAATGTTAAACCAACGCTACTCTTAGATATTGTGCCCACTGGGAATAACAGTAAATCCATTTAAATTGTACGTTGTTTGCCCAGATTTACCCGGGATTTTCCCCGAGCAAATTTAGGCAAACGTCGGTGATGTGACGTTGAATCCTCTGTGATATTCTCATTCCTCACCAACTCCTCCATCATCATCATCATCTCGTTGCCATCTTTTGAGTTTACTGCGGAACTTGACGGTGCCACCTGCTATTATCACTGTCACCTTCACCTTCCCACCCCCTCCATTGCAGGTCCCGGAGACCACCTGGCCGTGACCATGGACGTGACGAGCAAGGCCTCCGTGGACTCTGGTCTTAAAGCTGTCACGGACAAGTACCAGGCTCCCCCCAGTCTCCTGGTCAACAACGCTGGCATCCTGAAGTCAAGTCCATTTTTGGACATGGCAGAAAAGACCTTCGTGGATGTGTTGGATGTTAATCTGAAGGTATGTTGAATGTGACTCCAAACTTTGGTGTCAGTTTTGTAGTATGACTCAGGCCAAATTTCACATCTAAGATTAAAAATAAAATGATTTCCCTTCCAATGCGCTGGACAGTAACTGCGAGCATAAAAGATAAATATTTAGGTCCTCGTATCGCTGGGTCAAGATGGTCAACAATCTCTTGAGTGGAGGGGATGATGGAAAGGAGTTTGAGGAGTGAGCAATAACTAGTTTGACTGCGTGGAAGGAATATGAAGACAGGAAAGAACCTGAGATAGTGGAAGGGAATGATGTAACGATGTCCTATCCCAAGCACCACTGCCCTCTCGTGAGGGCAGTAGCACTCCAGGTTGTAATTGTTTCTTACTATGTCGTGTTACAATGGAAAAGAGCACGTCTGGAAATACTCGGCGCATAGGTTCAAACCCTAATCAAGGACCTTGTGGATTTGTTTATTTGATATATCACATTATTGTGGTTTATGCGTGCACCATTACTCTATCCCTAGGACCCAATGCCCTATCTCTAGAAAAATTGTCCTTCGATGAATTCGATATTCTTGATATCACTTAGTGAATTCGATATTCTTTATCACTCGCCATATTTCTCGTATTTGTATCTTGAGTGATATCGCTTTTTGAATATTCCGTGACACTGACAGTACTACATTATTTTCCCGGATTGTTACCTAATTTTTTTGGTTAATTAGTTTGTTTAGGCTGAAGCATACAGAAAATCCTCAGCCACCATGGGGCGCTGGTGGCTGAGTAGATAGCACGCTGGTCACATAATCCTGTGGACCGGGGTTCCATTCCCAGCACTTTCACTACTGCCTGCATATCCAGCTTTTGCACTAGCCTCTTTTGTGGTACTGCGTCAAAGGTTTTCTGGCAATCCAAAAATATGCAGTCTGGGCCCCCCCCCGCCTCTCTTTCTTGCCTGATTTTTGTTACCTGGTCGTAGAATTCAATTACTCCTGTGTGGCAGGACTTGCCATCCTTGAAGCCATGTTGTTGCTGTGTTACAAAGTTCTTTTGCTCCAGATGCTCCAGTGTGTGTGGAAAAAAATTAGTTAGTAGTTAGTAACAGTTGATTGAGTGACATTTGAGAGGCGGGCCGATAGAGCAGAGCTCAACCCTCGCAAGCACAACCAGGTGAATACAGATGTGTTACTACGTGTTCCAACGTCTTCACACATGTTCCCTTCCCTAAGCACCATAGTGAAGTGTCTTGTATCACACACAGGGGACCTTCCTGGTGAGTCAAGCAGTGGTGAAGTTGCTGCTGCAGCAGCCGGGAGCGGCTGGGGGCGCCGTGGTGAACATCGCCAGCCTCGCTGGCCAGGTTGGCTTCAAGAACTACTCCCAGTATGCAGCAAGCAAGGCTGGGGTGATGGCCTTCACCAAGTCTGTGGCAGGAGAGCTGACCAAGTAAGTTGGGTTTACATTACATAAGGAAATATTTGCCACAAACACACACACACACCAGTCGGAGTCAGTCCTATTGGTCCCATTGCGAGAGAGTCGGGCCCAATAGTGACCCCTCCTGTCAAGTGATAGACGGGGTGAAAGGTGGCTGATAGTCCCTAGATTTCATGACTCGAAAACCTTGAACGTGAATTCAGTATAACATTTTCCGAGACAGATAGAGGGGTATAGAGGGAAGGAGAGGCGAGGGGAAGATGAGAGTGATAAAGAAGGAGACATGACAGGGAAAGAGGAAGGGTGAGTGTAAGAGGGTAAGAAGGGATATAGACCCGGGCGCTGCTGGGCAACCCCTCCTCTTGTATATTTGTATAAATATTTTTACTTTTTGGAAAAAATGGTTATCCACTAGACGTAATTGAACTGTTCAATTTCCAATATTGTTTAATTGTCTTGTAAATTTCTACTGAATCTAGGACGGGTGTTCGAGTGAACTGCGTCCTCCCCGGCGTCACACAGACGCCCTTACTGACGGACATTACTACAGATTACCTTAACGAAGTTGTGGCCAAGGTGGCGCTTGGGAGAATGGGCCAGCCTGAAGGTTTGTATTGACCGGCCACAAATATGTATTGCCCCTTCATCTCCTCTCTGGCAATTCTCCACATTCTAGTCTCCGTCCCTGATCTTGCCAAACCTTTTAGTTACAAAGGCAAAGCAATCTCAGGTTTACAGTTTATAAGATAAGTAGTGTAATTTTTGGGGTAACTGTTCAGTCCAAAATTGAATTGTTTCATATTTGTTTTCTTAGCTTTGTATCATTAGCTACCAAAAAATAATATATTTACTCTGAGTCATATACCAAATATATACATATTCTCTGACACCTTATATTTCTGAATGTCCAATGATTGTATAAAAGAGACTAAGAGGTAGATAGCAAGAGAACGAGAACGAGCCTAAAATTGAGATCGAGAACTAGAGGGATATGTTGATGCTGAGTCTCTAATGATCTTCCTGGAAGAAATCATTTTGGTTTCTTCAACAGAGGTGGCCGAGGTGGTGGCGTTCCTGCTGTCGGACAAGAGCAGCTACATGACAGGATCTTGTGTGGAGATCCATGGTGGATACGGTTTGTAAGTGATGCAATGGAGATCGATCTAGGTCCATGGAAGCCACCTTCGAGGTCCATGGAAGCCACCTTCGAGGTCAATGGAAGCCACCTTCTAGGACCTTGTGGTAACCATTTTAGAGGACCTTGTCGTAGTCATTTTAGACGTCCTTGGGAAAACCACCTTTCAAAATCTTGGAGAAGCCATCTTCGAGGTCGTTGAGGTAGCCACTTTCATAAGGTCATTCAGGCAGCCATTGCCATGCTCAACAAAGACAAATAAAACATTTATTACAAAATGGAAGTCTTGCATTGTCTCCTCTTTTAATATTATCGGAAACTCCAATCCCTATGTAAACAAAATCGACGATAATGTTAGGTGGGATGGTGATAACACTCACTCTGCGCCTTGGAAGCAATCTGGTCTGGGTTCGAGTGCTGGCCTGACAGTTCCTTAATTGTTCGTCTCTGTTCACCCATTTTAAACCGGTTGGCGGTTTGTTTCAGGGAAAACTAATGGGTAAGGCTTATCACGAGCTATGTGAAGAGAAAGCTCTAAGCTTGCGAACAATAGTCAGAAGTCAGACTGTGCCTACTTGTGCAAAAAGATAATTTACATATAATCAATGAACTAAGGATGTCGTGTACAACTTGGTGTCGTGTATAACCAGGTCCGTACACACCCTGGTCCTTGTACACCTTGGCTCCCTTGTACTCCCTAATCCCTGTACACCACCTACAGATAAAAAGAAAATTTAGGTTCGAAGGACCACATTTGGGGTCCCACAGTTAAATTAGTGTAGCCAATTTATTCAGGTACAAGCCAAGTTGCTGGTTCAACTTCATTACTCTGGAAAACGATGGAGTGCATAAAAATAGTTGAGAAATTCATGGTGGTAGTGGCGAGAAGATGGGGGAGGGTCCATTGTTCCGCTTCCTAGCTACTACTGCTACCATGAGACATCACATAGACGTATGCCATTGTCCATATAGACGTATTTCGTTCAACTATATGAAAATCTACTTGGCTCTGATGTTTTGTGTAAGGAGGTAGAGCGGGAACGTCTAGTCTTAGTGGGTCCAGTTTGTTGCTGCCGACTACTACACTATGCTTGATAGTTGTGACTTTGCGAAATAAGTCCCGCTAAAGTCCGCCACCTTCCCTCAACCCTTAAGTTGCTTGTCTTAAGTCTTACTGTTAGAGGCAAAATTGTTTGGGCTCGTCCCCTTGGAGTTGCCAAGAATTTTGTCGGGTTTAATACAACCCTTATATATTACTATCGTGCATTTTATATATTCATTTAATTTTTCAATGTTTATAATCTTGTATTATTGTTTGATGTAATTTTGCGAACCTTAAGGTTAATGTGGTACGTTACCACATAATTTAACTATGTAGGTATATCACACAAGAGTATGACAGTCTTACAGGGATTTCAAAATCCATGTATAATGGATTTATTGTAATGTTTTGTATTTTGTAGATAATGTTCACAGCAATGTCCCCCAGACACTTGTTCTCTTGTGTGCTCTTCACACGGCATAAGCCTCTTGTCCGCCCACCAACCGCTTATGCCAAGCAAAATTGAACATGTTTGCCGTTATTAAATATTTTAAATGCTTTCCTGAGAAATTATAAATGATTTAATACATTTTTAGAAGCGCTGGCAGCAGTGTGGTCTGGTTATCAACACCACCTGGACTTTGTCCATAGTGAGAAGTTGTTCGGCTGCTTCTCCCATTAAGGCAACTAGACGCAGGCCGGCGCCGGTTCCCTCAAGATGTCGACTCCCATCTTCGCTGGTAAAGTGGCACTTGTCACAGGTAATGTTTCAGAAAACTGTTGTGATAAACCTAAATACATTTTCTGCTTTCCCCCATGAACAGTTAAGTGAATGTAGTGTTCTACATTCAATGTAGAACTACATTTAATGTAGTGTAACTGATCTCTTGACTGTTTATGGTCTCGAATTATTGCACACTCAACCAGTGTAAAATATCGTTTTCAACACGATTGCGAGTTGGGGCACTATACCCATACCCAGGGGAGGGTGGTCATACTATCCAATAGCAACGGAAATTAATTCAACGTTGAATCAGCGCCACTCTTGGCTATTGTGCCGACTGAGACAACACTTCACACAATATTATTGTTACCACAAAGCTTCACGAACACGTCATTTATCCAAAACTGTTGTTTGGCGTGAAGCCTGCGAGGAATATTATTGCTTGCAAGTGATTTGTTTCAACAAATTAAATATTAACTTAGTGTGTGTGGCGGAGAGAGGCTGGTCACACGCCCACCACCACCACCACGTCCAAAGAGAGGCTGCTGCTTGACACGATAGGTTATCTTGAGATTATCTTGAGATGATTTCGGGGCTTTTTTTTTTTTTTAGTGTCCCCGCGGCCCGGTCCTCGACCAGGCCTCCAACCCCAGGAAGCAGCCCGTGACAGCTGACTAACACCCAGGTACCTATTTTACTGCTAGGTAACAGGGGCATAGGGTGAAAGAAACTCTACCCATTGTTTCTCGCCGGCGCCCGGGATCGAACCCGGGACGATTTCCCACTCTTCGTAGCATCTTTTTTTTTTGTTATATATATAATACCCAAGTTTTCCTTAAAATAACCATGTCATAATCCAATATAATTAACATCAATATGATTACAGGGAAACAAGGTTCAAGTTTCGTCCCGCTTATATATATATATATATATATATATATATATATATATATATATATATATATATATATATATATATATATATATATATATATATATATATATGTATATATATATATATATAATACCCTGAATATATATATATATATATATATATATATATATATATATATATATATATATATATATATATATATATATATATATATATATACATACATATATATATATATATACATATATATATATATATACATATATATATATATATATATATATATATATATATATATATATATATATATATATATATATATATATATATATATATATATATATATATATAAAATAAAATATATTTTTTAAGCGTTGGAGTTCTGCCATTTCTGGCCTTGAAGTTGCGAATGGAGGAGAATACTTCCACTTTCAGTGCATCCAACTTGTTGACCACCCGTGCAGGTGGTGGTGATAGGGTCTAATAGTGTGCCCTTGAACAAATAAGTGATAGTGACTGATCTAGTATCTCCCACTTCAATAATCCCTGCATCATCATGATTAATATTTTATCCGTAACATGCAGAAGCGATTAAATCAGGATTGTGGTTAATATATCTCTGTTAAATAAGGATATAAGATAATCTTATTTTAGAGATTGGAGACCACATGCTAGGCAAATTGGCTCATTAACAATCTCTCTGAAGCCATTAATAGGTTATTCACAAACACTGTTGAAGAGAATTCCCCTCAACCTTTCCAGCTGTTATTCACACAGTTTACAATTACCAGAGTTTACCTGAGGGCCACTTAAAACACTAGTGGCCTTGGCGAGGACAGGAAACCGGGGGGGGGGGGGAGATAGACTTCCCCCACCATATGTCCTGACAGAACAATGAATGTTCACTGTGGGGTGGGGGGAAGAGTCATTACCAGCAGCAACCTGCCATAAGTATCAATATCCCAGCCTAATTCTGGCAATTACAATGTCATACTGTCTAGTTTATGTTTTGTACATACAAAACCATACACTAGACAGAACCATATATATATATGGTTCTCGGTTCTAAACGAATAACTCTTCATACTCTGGGTTTCTGCCCTTTTGAGTGTCGGTGATTGCTCATGTAATCAATTTCCTGAAATATTGCTGGAGGGATGGATGAAGGGACTGGCCCTGTCCAGCCGTCCCTCATCCGTCAACTGGCATCCTCCTCTATAACACCTGTATGGCCACCTGGTGATATTCACATATAATTTGCCAACCGGCTTACAGATTCTGAGGTTAAAATCAGTATTGTCCGCATACATTTGTTACGAATATAGCATCTTGCCAAATCTTGCAAATTTACTCTGCCTTGCAGACCAACCAACCCAGTGGGCACGGTATGCCAGAGTATCATACTTATAATAATAATAATTTATTTAGGAACAGTACATACATAGTTGCAGCGTTACAGTACAAACATTCTGTTAGATTTAAAGATAGAGGTAGTACATACAATACCTAAAGCCACTATTACGCAAAGCGTTTCAGGCAGCAACTTACTGGTTCGGCATTGAATCAACGTTGATTTCGACGTTGGATTCACGTTGCTCTTGGATATAGAGCCCACTCGGTGATCTATATATTTTTTACAGAAAAGTTTTCGTTTTTAGATCAAATTTCTGATTTGGATCAAGATAACTGTTTTTGTATTTACTTTTGTTTTAATATAAATACAATGCAGTAGTGTTAGCAGGTGAGTGAGGAGAGCTGATAATGTGCGTGACTGACAGCTGGTGATAAACGATCCTGAGTGACCCTTTGAATTCCACTTACTAATGGAATTGTTCAGAGGGTCACGTCTGAAGAATGTATTAAAATACATAATAGTTACTTTATAATAGCAGGAAGATAATAGTGGTTGCCTTGAGGGGGCTGTACGGATTTCCATTGAAGTCAGATTTGAGATGGATCAGTGCTAAAAGATTATATAATAGATTTTATAATTATCAAATCAAGATAAAATTCAACGATGAATTCCAATAGCAAATAAACACAAATCCGTCACACACCGACCAGGAAATGTACAAAAGAAGGCAGTAAACGGTCATATAACCTCAGTAGAGAAGTATAGGCTTTGCTTCCCATAGGCCTCAAAGCCTAGTGAAAAAATCTTAGGTTCATATCCAATAATATTGCTAGTAATAGGAGAGCTTCCGTGTAGCTTTTAAATTGTAAAAATAATAATGAAAAGTTTAAACAGATGTAACAAAAATACCATAGGCGCAAAAGTTAACGCTGATGGCGAAAAGTGTAATCTGGCCTTGGAGCCGGATGGTGTTGGGCAGATGTAGGTCTTCACCCAGTGGGAACATGTTTCGCAGGCGACGTTGAATCAGCGTTACTCCAGCATGTTTTGCCCACTGGGTAACGCTAAATCAGTATAGTATAAACGTTGATTCAATCCCAGTGGGTGCAACATGCAAGATAAATATTAACACGACGTAGAATTAACGTCCTCAGCGTTGATTCTGCATCGAACCAACGTCACTCTTGGACGTTGTACCCATCGAGATGTTACATCAACGACATTTGCCCTAGATTTGTACCAGGGGTTAAAGCTAGGTTCCGTTGATGTAGAGTAATGCCAAGTTCCGCTGGTGTTGCAGATATTGACTAATGCCGGGTACCATTCGTACTGCAGGTGGCGGAAGCGGCATCGGGCGAGCCATCTGTCAGGTGTTGGCCAGGGACGGTGCCAACGTGGCTGTGGCTGACATCAATCTCCAGGGGGCCCAGGAGACCGTCAGCATGTTACCTAGTAAGTCCACTCCACCGTCAGCATGTTACCTCGTAAGTCCACTCCACCGTCAGCATGTTACCTCGTAAGTCCGCTCCACCGTCAGCATGTAGCCGATTCCCAGCAGGTGAAATATCCCAGTGACCACAATATGCAAGAGTGGCGTTGGTTTGACGTTGAACCAACGCCACTCTTAGATATTGTGCCTCCTGGGAGTAATAATAAATAAATTTAGAATGAACGTTGTTTGCCCAGATTTACCTGGGATTTTCTCGAGCAAATTTTGGCAAACGTCGGTGAAGTGACGTTAAATCCCCTGTGTTCTCCTCATTCCTCACCAACTTCTCCATCATTTGGTTGCAATCTTTTGAGTTTACTGCGGAACCTGACGGGGCCACCTGCTACTATCACTGTCACCTTCACCTTCCCGCCACCTCCCCTGCAGGTCCCGGAGACCACCTGGCCGTGACCATGGACGTGGCGAGCAAGGCCTCCGTGGACTCTGGTCTTAAAGCTGTCACGGACAAGTACCAGACTCCCCCCAGTCTCCTGGTCAACAACGCTGGCATCGTCAAGCCAAGCCCATTTTTGGACATGGAAGAAAAGGCCTTCGTGGATGTGTTGGATGTTAATCTCAAGGTATGTTGAATGAGACTCCAAATCATGGTGTCGTTTTGTAGAATGACTGAGGACGAATTTCACATCTTAAGATTAAAATTAAACAATGTATTCCCCTTCCAATACGCTGGACAATAACTGCGAGCATACAAGATAAATGTTTGGGTCCTCGCATCGCTGGGTCAAGATGGAAAACAATCTCTTGAGTGGAGGGGATGATGGAAAGGAGTTTGAGGAGTGACCATTAACCAGTTTGACTGCATGAAAGAAATATGAGGACAGGAAAGAACCTGCCACAGTGGAAGGGGACTGATGTAAAGATGTCCTATCCCTAGCACCATTGCCCCTCACGTGAGGGCAGTAGCACTCCAGGTTGTAATTGTTTTACCATCTCATGGTATAGTGGGCAAGAGCACATCTGGGAACACTCAGTGCATAGGTTCGAACCCTAATCAAGGACCTTGTGGATTTGTTCATTTGATATATCACGTTATTGTGATTTGTGTGTGTGCCATTACCATATCCCTAGAAAAATTGTCCTTTAATGGAATGCTTAGTGAATTTGATATTCTTTATCACTCGCCTTATTTCCTTTTTTTCTCGTATTTGCATCATGAGTGATATCGCTTTTCGAATATCCCGTGACACGGACAGTACTTCGTAATTTTCCCGGATTGTTACCTAATTTGTTGTAGTTAATTACTAAAATTTGTTCAGACAGAAGCATACAAACTTGTTACTACGTGTTCCAACGTCTTCTCACATGTTCCCTTCCCTACACACCATAGTGAAGTATTTTGTATTACACACACAGGGGACCTTCCTGGTGAGTCAAGCAGTGGTGAAGTTGCTGCTGGAGCAGCCGGGAGCGGCTGGGGGCGCCGTGGTGAATATCTCCAGCGTCACCGGCCAGACTGGCTTCAAGAACTACTCCCAGTACGCAGCAAGCAAGGCTGGGGTGATGGCCTTCACCAAGTCTGTGGCAGGAGAGTTGGCCAAGTGAGTTGGGTTTACATTACATAAGAAAATATTTGCCACAAACACACACACACACACACACCAGTCGGAGTCAGTCCTATTGGTCCCATTGCGAGAGTCAGGCCCAATAGTGACCCCTCCTGTCAAGTGATAGACGGGGTGAAAGGTGGCTGATAGTCCCTAGATTTCATGACTCGAAAACCTTGAACGTGAATTCAGTATAACATTTTCCGAGACAGATAGAGGGGTATAGAGGGAAGGAGAGGCGAGGGGAAGATGAGAGTGATAAGGAAGGAGACATGACAGGGAAAGAGGCAGGGTGAGTGTAAGAGGGTAAGAAGGGATATAGACCCGGACGCTGCTGGGCAACCCCTCCCCTTGTATATTTATATAAATATTTTTACTTTTTTGAAAAAATGGTTACCCACTAGACCAAGTTGAACTTTTCAATTTCCAATATTGTTTAATTGTCTTCTAAATTTTTACTGAAACTAGGACGGGTGTTCGAGTGAACTGCGTCCTCCCCGGCGTCACACAGACGCCCTTACTGACGGACATTACTACAGATTACCTTAACGAAGTTGTGGCCAAGGTGGCGCTTGGGAGAATGGGCCAGCCTGAAGGTTTGTATTGACCGGCCACAAATATGTATTGCCCCTTCACCTCCTCTCTGGCAATTCTCCACATTCTAGTCTCCGTCCCTGATCTTGCCAAACCTTTTAGTTACAAAGGCAAAGCAAACTCAGGTTTACAGTTTATAAGATAGGTAGTGTAATTTTTGGCAACTGTTCAGTCCTAAATTGAATTGTTTCATATTTGTTTTCTTAGCTTTGTATCATTAGCTAGCAAAAAATAATATATTTACTCTGAGTCATACCTAAATATATACATATTCTCTGACACCTTATATTTCTGAATTTCCAATGATTGTATAAAAGAGACTAAGAGGTAGATAGCAAGAGAACGAGAACGAGCCTAAAATTGAGATCGAGAACTAGAGGGATATGTTGATGCTGAGTCTATAATGATCTTCCTGGAAGAAATCATTTTGGTTTCTTCAACAGAGGTGGCCGAGGTGGTGGCGTTCCTGCTGTCGGACAAGAGCAGCTACATGACAGGATCTTGTGTGGAGGTCTATGGTGGATACGGTTTGTAAGTGATGCAAAGGAGATCGATCTAGGTCCATGGAAGCCACCTTCGAGGACCTTGCGGTAACCATTTTAGAGGACCTTGTCGTAGTCATTTTAGAGGTCCTTGGGAAAATCACCTTTCAGAATCTTGGAAAAGCCATCTTCGAGGTCGTTGAGGTAGCCACTTTCATAAGGTCATTCAGGCAGCCATTGCCATGCTCAACAAAGACAAATAAAACATTTATTACAAAATGGAAGTCTTACATTATCTCCTCTTTTAATATTATCGGAAACTTCAATCTCAATGTAAACAAAATCGACGAAAATGTTAGGTGGGATGGTGGTAACACTCACTCTGCGCCTTGGAAGCAATCTGGTCTGGGTTCGAGTGCTGGCCTGACTGTTCCTTAATTGTTCGCCTCTGTTCACCCATTTTAAACCGGTTGGCGGTTTGTTTCAGGGAAAACTAATGGGTAAGGCTTATCATGAGCTAAGTGAAGGGAAAGCTCTAAGCTTGCTAACAGTAGTCAGAAGTCAGACTGTGCCTACCTGTGCAAAAAGATAATTTTTAAATAGTTAATGAACTAAGGACACCTGGGTGTCGTGTACAACCAGGTCTGCACACCCTGGTCCATGTACACAATCTACAGACAAAATTCAGGTTCGAAGGACCACTTTTGGGGTCCCCCAGTTAAATTAGTGTAACCAATTTATTCAGAGCACAAGCTAAGTTACTGGTTCATTTTCAGTACTCTAGCAAACGATGGAGTGCATTGAAATAGTTGAGGAAATTCATGGACCTCTTGGTGGGGGGGCATTGTTCCACTACCTAACTATTACTGCTACCCTGAGACATGGCCTTGTGCTCCACAGCATCGCTGGAAAACATAGCCTGGCCAAAAATCAATATAAGTCTAAGGAATACAAAGTCTAGCAAAAAAATATTCCAGTTTACTGGGGGCGTATAACACAGGTCACCGTAGTATAATAAGAAAGCTACAAGTCTCTACAATTCTCCTTCTATCACATTATCTAGCTCCTTAAAGCTTTGCATGATCATCAGCAGGCTTCAAAACTGTATACACTCAGCACTACCAGACACCAGGATCTATCCTGTCACAATGGGACACTAGCGCCTATTACACTGATAATACTAATACAGGATGGTGGTGTTACAATCATTAACAAATGAGGTTGAGGAATCAATATCATACATAGCACAATGGCATCACTTAAGATCCTCAGATACCCACCTCAATAATACATATACAAGCACCTACCACCTGGCATAAGTGATGTACATCGGTAGAAATGATCCATGGTAAACACTACTGCATAATCTTAATTATCCTAGCAATCAATTAACACAAATAAAGCCATTAAACCCGGGCCAGGGCGACACACACCCGCCCGACTGGGAATATCAAAGAGTAGTGACCGCTCAGAGGCTGAGCAGGAGCCAGATTCACGAATGCACTTACGCAAGCACTTACGAACGTGTACATCTTTACAATAATCAGACTAAATAATGAAAATATTCGTGTTATAATGGTTGTCGGCACCTCCACTGGGGAGGAGGGTCTCCATTTGAAGACAGTTTTAGTGGCCACTGCCACACAAATTACTTGTTAAATTACCAGTAATCACTCCCTAGATATTCGGGTAATCCCTGATCTATAATCTAAGCAAGAATTCGTCCATACGAACTCATATCGTGAGTTCAGTCGTAGAACTCAGTCGTGAGAGTGAAATCATGTACCCAGACTTGAAAAAGCTTACACCATCATTTAATCCTTAGCACTGCTACAAGTATCCATCCTACTGCAAACGCTACTAGGAACTTAATCAACATCAAGCTGTCTTATCTTCATCAAAAATACAGAGCCTATCTCCTGAGAGATCTTACAGTCTGACAATTTCCCAGATTAGGCTCTGGTTCTCAGTTTCAGGATAAGTTATTAATTGTTTTAGAGCGTAGATTGGCCAAAAGTAGAAACATTAATTTAGAAACATTAATAGTAGAAACTTTATAACATTAATATATCTATATATAAATTGAGAGCGGTTAGGCAGCGAGGCAAAGCCTCAGCAATTAGTGAGTTGATTTACCTTCATCGGTAACTGAATCTTTTTACTGCTGAATATTCATATATATATGTGAATATCCTTATCTTGTGTATATAATTCTTTAGTATAATTCATCATACATTTAATTGACATATTCATTAATCTTATCAAATTAGTTTATTTTATTGCATATACTATTTTCTTTGTATATTGTACATGCATTATTCTTGTATTATACAACTACTTTGTTGAGAGTATCAGAACAATTGATAATGGGCTGTTACAATATTTCTAGAGCTAGGTTAAAGTATATACCTGTATACCTAGTTCAGATACTTGATCATGATCCGTACCCGTGTTTACCGTTATGGAACTGTCATTATTATATCCTTATATAAAATATACAAGCTAAATGTGTTGGAATACTCACAGGTATATTGTGGTTCTGTTATCAATGACTAAGCTCAGCCTTAAGTACCCTACCTGATTCATCTCATTACAGGTATCGAGAACATAGAGAGCAACCCGTTCTCGCACTTTCTTTAAGTCAATATTGACTTATTTAATACGTGCATATGTGACATACTAAACATACTAGTTTACCTTGAAAAGCTTCATAGAAAACACCGACCTTACCTAACCTTCTTAGTATGTTAAGATAAGCATCTTATTGCTTCGTAATTACAATTATTACTTAACCTATACCTATAATAGGTTAAGTAATAATTGTAATTACGAAGCAATAAGATGCTTATCTTAACATACTAAGAAGGTTAGGTAAGGTCGGTGTTTTCTATGAATCTTTTCACGGTAAACTAGTATGTCACATATGCACGTATTTAATAAGTCAATATTGACTATACGAAAGTGCGAGAACGGGTTGTAGAGAGATATTAGCCTACTTTGTGTTGTATTTTTTATGAACTATTTACAGTCATTATTCTGTTGCAAAATTATGGCTCTAGTAACCGGGTTTTTGGTCCTTTGAACCTAGATACCAAGTACTTGGACCACATTTAGGGTCCTATGTAATTCTCCTCATTCATCTAATTCTGGTATTTCTCCCACACAATTTCGGGGAATTCAAAATCCATGTATCTCCAGTGGGAAATTTTCGGTGATAAAATCAAGATTTATTGTAATGTTTTGTATTGTGTAGATAATGTTTACTACAATGTCGCCCAGACACTTGTTCACTCGTGTGCTCCTCCCACGGGATACGCCTCTTGTCCGCCCACCAACCGCTTTTGCCAAGCCTAATTTAGCATGTCTCCCGTTATTAAATATTTGTAAATGCTTCCCCGAAAAATTATAAATTATTTAAGACATTTTAAGAAGCGATGGCAGCAGTGTGGTCTGGTTATCAACACCACCTGGACTTTGTCCATTGTGAGACAAGTTGATTAACTGCTTCGACCATTTAAGGCAACTAGACACAGCCCGGCGCTGGCTCCCTCAAGATGTCCACTCCCATCTTCGCTGGTAAAGTGGCACTGGTCACAGGTAATGTCTTCGCTATTTTTTTTTTACCATAGACGCAGCCATTCATTGGTAGCGCTGACCAGCGGGGCCAGGGGCATTCACGAAGCAGTTACGCAAGTACTTACGAACGTGTACATCTTTCCTCAATCTTTGACGGCTTTGGTTACATTTATTAAACAGTTTACAAGCATGAAAACTTCCCAATCAACTGTTCTTATTGTTATAAGACAGCCTCCTGGTGCTTCGGAGCTCATTAATTGTTTAATAATTGTAAACAAAGCCGCCAAAGATTGTAAAAGATGTACAGGTTCGTAAGTGCTTGCGTAACTGCTTCGTGAATCTGGCCCCAGGATTCTTCAAGCATTTGCCTGTCCACTTGCGATAACCTGTACATCTTTCCTCGATCATCGTGGCTCTTTGTCTTCACTAAACAGTTTACGAGCTTCGAAACTCCTCAAACCCGTGGTTATTGTTGTTATAGATAACCTAATAGCGCTTCGAAACACTTCATCTGTTTAATAAAGGTAAAGAAAGCCGCAATGATCCCCGATCAATGAGGAAAGATGTACAGGTTTCGTTAGTGGACACGCAAATGCTTGATAAACCCTGGTCTACACTACATGTTGTATAGCGAGTCATAAACTACTTGATCGCAGCGTAAGGTATTGTTTTAATATTAATTGGAGTTTGAAATTAGCTGTAATATGTGAGCTGGTAACATGCGGGTGTGTGAATAAGGTCAGGAGTTTGGTTCCTACAACACTGTTTAGTGAAGGTATTGAGGCAAGACTTGACTCTTAATTTAGTAGCAATGATTAGCCTACCTTGAGGTTACCTTGAGGTGCTTCCGGGGCTTAGCGTCCCCGCGGCCCGGTCGTCAACCAGGCCTCCTGGTTGCTGGACTGATCAACCAGGCTGTTGGACGCGGCTGCTCGTAGCCTGACGTATGAGTCACAGCCTGGCTGATCAGGTATCCTTCGGAGGTGCTTATCCAATGCCAATGAGGTGCCTAACCGGAAGCTACAGTATTGTAAATTATGATTGATGTTGCAGCAGATGATACTTGTCGTCAAAATCGAAATAGACATAGAAACACAATCTATTGACATTAAATTGACATACATAAACACATTCACACGTTAGGCTTATCTCAAAGTACCCCCCTCCCTCTTTACAAGGTCGAATTACGGACTCTCCTTAGGAGTTGCCTAACTCCCGGGTACCTATTTACTGCTAGGTGAGCAGAGACATTAGGTAATAGAAAACGTGCCCAACCATTTCTGTCCCGGCCTAGGGATTCAAACCTGGGATATCATATAGTGAGTGACCCACAACCGGGATAACTGGCAGTTTTAACATTGTATTATCAAACGGTTGGGAGTTATCAACCCTGGAAGCTGAAGTGGGTAACTATCAATGTTGTCCGCACTTGTTGTTAAGAATATAGTCTCTTATCTAATCATACTGACGAAACACATTTTATTTATTTATTTATTTGCAAGAAGGTACATGTGGTTTGTGAGAATACGTAGCATAGTACAGTAATTGCACTCTTGTAAAGCCACTAGTACGCGCAGCGTTTCGGGCAGAACAGGTGAAGAGACGACGACGTTTCGGTCCGTCGTGGACCATTCTCAAGTCGATTGTCGATTTCGGTCCAGGACGGATCGAAACGTCGTCGTCCCTTCACCTTCTAGTGTGTGGTCTGGTCAACATACTTTAGCCACGTTATTGTGACTCGTCGCCTGCGTGTTCTTGCATGCTTGCAAAGCCCCTAACACGTACAGCATTACGTGCGGGTATGTACACCACTGACTGCCCTGTGAGTCGGGTACCCACCATATAGACGTTGATTTGCCTTAGATCTGGAAGGTGCTTGGCAGATGCTGCCTCCCTGTGGGTACAATATTCACGAATCATGTCGGATCAACATTGATTCAACGATGAATTAATGTTGATAACGCTGAAACTGAAATTGAAATAAGTTTATTAAGGTAAAATACACACAAAGGGATGAGGTAGTTCAAGCTATTCTCACCCCGTTCAGTACATCGTGTTAATATATACATATAAACACATCACAAACAATAAACATATTACCAAACATTCTGAGAGATAAACATCTACATTTCCTTTGATAACGTTAATTCAACGTCGTGTCTCTTTGGATACTGTGTCCACAGGGAAATATATACCAGAGTAACGTTAAATCAACTTAGAATCAACGTTGATTCATTTTTGCATCAGCGTTGTTTGTCCAATATGTGCCTATTGGGCCAACCCGTTCTCGCACTTGCTTATAGTCAATATTGGCTTATTTAATAAGTGCATATGTGACATACTAATTGATTGTGAATATTTTAGTTTACCTTGAAAAGCTTCATAGAAAACACCGACCTCACCTAACCTTCTCAGTATGTTAAGATAAGCATCTTATTTACAATTATTACTTAACTTATGAACGGTATAGGTTAAGTAATAATTGTAATTATTATCAACACCTGTAATTATTATCGACACCTGCCCAATGCAGGTGTCGCTGGTGTTGCAGATGTTGACTAATGCCGGGTACCACTCGTACTGCAGGTGGCGGAAGCGGCATCGGCCGAGCCATCTGTCAGGTGTTGGCCAGGGACGGTGCCAACGTGGCTGTGGCTGACATCAATCTCCAGGGAGCCCAGGAGACCGTCAGCATGTTACCTAGTAAGTCCACTCCACCGTCAGCATGTTACCGTCCAGTCCCAGTGGCCACAATATGCAAGAGTGGCGTTGACCAGACCACACACTAGGTGAAGGGATGACGACGTTCCGGTCCGTCCTGGACCATTCTCAAGTCGACAATCTACTTGAGAATGGTCCAGGACGGACCGTAACGTCGTCTTTGTTACCTATCGTACGTTACGGCTCGTGACTCTACAGCAGCCAAACTTTAATTACATCTAGGGATACGACACAACTGCTGTTCTCAATAGCGAATCACCAGTATAACCCCTTAATAGGTAATGAGCACATAATTAACAATCTTCGTTTAGGACTGAAGAATAGATACACAATATGATAGCTATATATTCAAAACAGTATAATATAAAAACACAGATGGTAAAGTTAACTTATAGAATATGATTGTATAGTCATGTCAAAATATATATAATAGTAATTATGGCAATAAATGAATGTAATAGACTTATCTCCCATATGTTACTCTCCTAGTCCTGTATCAGCTACTGAACTCTCGCTCTGTCGCCACCCACATTCTCACCTCCCGTCTGCCTCATCCCAGGATGAGGGATGGAAACTAAGGACTTTTTAATATTATAAACTAATTGAACAACCACTTGTTCTCAAAACACATAAGACTGCAAGTTACATATAATAGTGACTTACAAAATATATAAGTACAATGACACCTGTTTAATTACAGTATATAAAACATTTCCTAACTAAATAAAAGTGACAACTGGAACTCTCAAACTGAACAGGTCCAGCTTTCCCGTATCAATCAAGTAATAGACGTGTGCAGAGACAACCGCTCTCCTGTCCACTGACGCTGCCAAACCACACGACAATTTACCCAAAACACAATGTGTGTACATATACATGCAATGACAAAATAAAATAATATTTATTTTAAATTTATATACGTATTCTGCTAGGAGTACGTAACAGTCTTCCCTTCACCTTCTAGTGTGTGGTCTGGTCAACATACTTCAGCCACGTTCAGCCTTCAGACTCATCGCCTGCACAAGAGTGGCGTTGGTTTGACGTTGAACCAACGCCACTCTTAGATATTGTGCCCGCTGGGAGTAACAATAAATATATTTAGAATGAACGTTGTTTGCCCAGATTTAACCAGGATTTTCCCGAGCAAATTTTGGCAAACGTCGGTGATGTGACGTTAAATCCCCTGTGTTCTCCTCATTCCTCACCAACTCCTCCATCATTTGGTTGCCATCTTTTGAGTTTACTGTGGAACCTGACGGTGCCACCTGCTACTATCACAATCACCTTCACCTTCCCTGCAGGTCCCGGAGACCACCTGGCCGTGACCATGGACGTGACGAGCAAGGCCTCCGTGGACTCTGGTCTTAAAGCTGTCACGGACAAGTACCAGGCTCCCCCCAGTCTCCTGGTCAACAACGCTGGCATCTCAAAGAAAAGTCCCTTTTTAGACATGGAAGAAAAGACCTTCATGGATGTGTTGGATGTTAATCTCAAGGTACGTTGTGTGACTGGCGTGGTTTGAGTGTTACTCCAGCCGCTGGTTATGTGCTTGAGTGCGACTCCAAACTCTGGTGACGTTTTTTTTAGCATGACAGTGGAGGAATTTCACATCTGAGATTAAAAATAAATAATTGATTCCCTTCAATTATCAGGAGAAAGCGTTCAGTCATTACGACTGTATAGCACTTGGAAAGAGGGGGATAAAGATTTGGGATAGCACGGAGGAAAGGAATGATGGCCAACCACTGGGAAGGTTGGGGATTGAACGCGGACCTGCTGATTGATTGATTGATGAAGATTAAGCCACCCAAAAGGTGGCACGGGCATGAATAGCCCGTATGTGGTGGCCCTTCGGAGCCATCTGATCTGTGGAGGTGCGACTGCACCCTACGGAGAGGTCGTGATGTCTGACGAAAAGTTACTGAATGAATCACATTATATTATCACTAAAGGTGTATCCGTCTACAGCAAGGAATATACATGGAGGGGTGTATTCCGCTTCCCCGCGTGCGTACACACACACGATTGTGTGTCGATTGACAATCGACACGATTGACAATGTTGATTCTCAAGTCGATTGACAATCGACTTGAGAATGGTCCAGGACGGACCGAAACGTCGTCGTCCCTTCACCTTCTAGTGTGTGGTCTGGTCAGCACCTTAAAAACTATCTAGAGGTTCATAGACGTTAAGCCCAACATGTAATCAATCTACACCTGACGGAGAAAGATTACTGTAACTTACATAATAGTCGACCTCTGTCCCCCACGTGTTCCCCAACAGGTTCTCGGCCGCTGTATCCCTCCCCCCATATATTATACAAGAGTGTCTTGTATCTCACACACGCAGGGGACCTTCCTGGTGAGTCAAGCAGTGGTGAAGTTGCTGCTGCAGCAGCCGGGAGCGGCTGAGGGCGCCGTGGTGAACGTCTCCAGCCTCGCTGGCCAACTTGGCCTCAAGAACCACTCCCAGTATGCAGCAAGCAAGGCTGGAGTGATGGCCTTCACCAAGTCTGTGGCAGGAGAGCTGGCCAAGTGAGTTGACGTAAGATTTGGCTTTTTTTTGAGAAAAATAATGGTGCTTGTCCACTGTATGGCGGCCCGTTGCTGTAGCTACCCCTAACCCTATAAGAACAACAGTACCTAGCTATGCTGTTCAGTTTGCATTGATGTGTAATTGTTAATTTCTTGTGAATCTAGGACGGGTGTTCGAGTGAACTGCGTCCTCCCCGGCCTCATAGAGACGCCCATACTGGTAAACACTCCGCAAGCTCTCGTCGACGCAGCTGTGGCCAATTTGGCGCTTGGGAGAATGGGCCAGCCTGAAGGTATGTATTGATGGGTTACTATAGTATTTAAGACCTTCTACCTCTTGGGCATCCTGTACTCCATCCCCGATCTTACGGAAGCTTTTGGTTACAAAGCCAAAACAAACCTGGTTAATTAACTGTGTCGCGGGACAGGAAGCCAGAGTGTATTGATACACGTAAATACTGGTTCAGTAACAGGGTTGTTGATTTGTGGAACCAATTGCCGCGTAACATTGTGGAGGTGGGGTCCCTCGATTGTTTCAAGCGCGGGTTGGACAAGTATATGAGTGGGATTGGGTGGTTATAAATAGGAGCTGCCTCGTATGGGCCAACAGGCCTTCTGCAGTTGCCTTTGTTCTTATGTTCTTATGTTCTTACGTAAGGGTATACATTACGTAAGGGTATTGATACAAGTATCAATGACCCTCCCCCCCCCCTCCTAAAGGTCGATTTATTGACCCCGCCCAGGATGCAACCCCACATTAAGCTGACTAACTCCTGATTACCTACTTACTACTAGGTGAACAGACGCACTAGGTGAAAGGAACTGTGGCCTACTATTTCTGTCCCGCCCGGGATTCGAACCTGGAATTCTCGATTGTGCGTCGAGAATGAACCCGACTATACTACCACGACCCTAAAATTATGTAGGCTAGAAAATATGATGTGTTTTGGTGCGGAAAGTTATATTTATTTTCTAAACTTAATTGTTTCAGAGTTGTTTTCTAAGTTTTGTATCATTAGTTAGCAAACATAATATATTTTCGTATAGCAAGACATTCACCTTCTGCCGGTCTAGTGGTTTGAGTGAGTTATACCTAAATATTAACATTAACATGTTCTTTGGTCACAACACGACGGTTCATGGTATACAAGTTGACGCCTTAGATTTCCGAATTCCCAATGATTGTATAATATAATTCCCAATGATTGTATAATATAATTCCCAATGATTGTATAATATAATTCCCAATGACTGACTCCGAGCCTGATACTCTCAGCGCGTTTTAGCACTTTAGCGGACCGATCAGATGAAAACATATCTGTTCTCTGACATTAAACGTTCACGTGATTAAAACGCGACATCTGATGCCTAGTCATAAACATTTGTATATTCATTGCTGTCACGTATTATCTATTATAAATACACTTTCAATTTTGTATCTGTTCTCTAGAGAATTAATTTGCGAATATTTTGACACTCAATTTATATTTATAACCCAACAAATAACAGAAAGTTATTGTAAATTGTTTTCCCATCAAGCGTCGCGGGGAAGCCCGGAACGGGGTATTCATTACGCCCATTACGGGCTATTCATGCCCGTGCCACCTCTTGGGTAGCTTAATCTTCATCAATCAATCAATCAATCGTTTAAGGCCAAGAATGCGCGGATACATCATGACGACCCCATCGCATCCCCAGATCTCCAGTATCAGCTATTGATACAGATAATGGCTCCAAAGAGCCTCCACATACGGGCTCACCATAGCCCGTGCTACTTGGAACCTTTTGTTCCAAGTGGCTGAACAACAACAGCGGATGAGCCCAATCGCCAAAGGGCTAAAGGTCGCACACAGTCACGTGAGGTCAAACTGCACAATTTTGTCCATTTGGCCCAGTGGTAGCAAACATGCCTCACATCTCTCAAACTATTTCCACCGGGTTCCAGCCCTGACTAGGGAGGATCGTTTGGGTTCCGATCCTTAACTATTATCCCATGTTCACTCAGCAGCAATTGGGGACCTGGTAGTTAACCGATTGGCGCTAGATTGTCTGTAAGCAGTGTTGATGTTGGGTCTCTAATGATCTTCCTAGAAGAAATAATATTTTCCTCCGTCAACAGAGGTGGCGGAAGCGGTGGCGTTCCTGCTGTCGGACAAGAGCAGCTATATGACAGGGTCTTGTGTGGAGATCAGTGGTGGGTACGGCTTGTAAGTGATGCGAGGAAGGTCACCTTCGATGTCGTTGTGGAAGCCTTCGATGTCTGTGGTAGCCACCTTCGATGTCGTTGTGGAAGCCTTCGATGTCTGTGGTAGCCACCTTCGATGTCGTTGTGGAAGCCTTCGATGTCTGTGGTAGCCACCTTCGATGTCGTTGTGGAAGCCTTTGATGTCTGTGGTAGCCACCTTCGATGTCTTCGTGGAAGCCACCTTCGATGTCCTTGTGGTAGCCTTCGAGGTCCTTGTGGTAGCTACCTTCAATGTCGTTGTGGTAGCCTTCGATGTCCTTGTGGTAGCCACCTTCGATGACCTTATGGTAGCCACTTTCACACAGTCATTCAGGCAGCCACTACCATGTTCAACAAAGACAAATAAAGCATTTATTACCAAAGAAAATCTTTGCAATATCTCCTCTTTTACAATTGTCGAAAACATGTTCAATATCAAGTAAATCGACTCAAATGTCAGGTCCCAGGTGGCGCCTCGCGAGGGATTTGGCTTGGGTTCGAGTCCTGTCATTGGAAGATTCAATGGGTGTCAGTCTTTGGGTATTCGCCTGTGTTTACCAGCAGCAATTAGGTACCTGGTTGTAAATCGATTGGCGGGTCGTATTCCAGGGGAAAATTAGTGGGGAAGACTTACCTGTTAACATGAATCAGAAGTCGACTGTTCCTGTACCCACCTGTGTAAAGGGAAATAGATTTTCCTTAATTCGTTAATTAGCTAATCCAGAATAAATCACGAATCAAAATGCTCCTCTCATAGTTGTTCTTCAGAACATCTACACCTTCAGTACACCTCTGAATTACTCGGAGACACTGATGGTTTTCAGTCGTTTCTCAATAAGAATTTAGGACTTTGCAGGAGGCCTATTGGCTCACCGGAAGCAGCTCCAAATATATATAAATCCACTCATATACGCTTGTATATGAGCGTATTCATATATTACCTGGTCCATGTACGCTTGAAATAATCAAGCGATACCACGTCTATTGCGTTACCAGGTAAATATATTGAAATAAATCTTCCAGTTGCAGATAGATGTTGCCAAGTAGACCTGTAAAGAATCCAATCATTTGCAAGTCAAGATCTGTGACTTCTAAATCCGAGGATGCAGATGATATATATGGGTGTTGATGTATATGTTTCAGTACACTTGGGTGTATAGACCAACGGGAGAATCACACATTGTGGTGAATACATCAAAGGGAGACACATCGCGGTGAATACATCAACGGGAGACTCCACATCGCGGTGAATACATCAACGGGAGACTCCACATCGCGGTGAATACATTAACAGGAGACACATCGGGGTGTATATACATTGAGAGTTCACTTTAGTTGTGGACCTCGCTCGGGACTGAAGCATACTTGATAAACAAATCCACAAGGGCCGTGACGAGGATTCGAACCTGCGTCCAAAGAGCATCCCAGACGCTGCCTTTATCGACTGAGCTACGACATTTTGTTCATTTGATGCATCACGTTATTGTGACTTCTGTGTACATACATGATAGTTTGTCAGTAACTTAGAGGGGGTCTTAATAACCCTCAAGACTGGTAGACCTTAAGACAGAAACTTCGCGGTAGGCCCTTAAGCTCGAAACGTCGCGGTAGGTAAGCCTTGAGCACAACACCTAACCAGTTTGAGGAAGTGGAAGCCAAGTAGCAACATGTGGGGAGTGTCGTCGTCGTGTCTCTGGCGGAAGTGAGTCACGGGACGCCAGGCCAGGTACGGCGTCCAAGGACTCCGCCACTCACCTGTAATTACGCCAGTCGGTGGCGTCCATTGACCCAGGACTCATCAGACCTTTATACGCCTTCACTCTGGTCCTCTGTACACCCTGGTCCTCTGTACACCCTGGGCCTCTGTACACCCTGGTCCTCTGTACACTCTGGTCCTCTGTACACCCTGGTCCTCTGTACACCCTGGTCCTCTGTACACCCTGGGCCTCTGTACACCCTGGTCCTCTGTACACCCTGGTCCTCTGTACACCCTGGTCCTCTGTACACCCTGGTCCTCTGTACACCCTGGTCCTCTGTACACCCTGGTCCTCTGTACACCCTGGTCCTCTGTACACCCTGGTCCTCTGTACACCCTGGTCCTCTGTACACTCTGGTCCTCTGTACACCCTGGTCCTCTGTACACCCTGGTCCTCTGTACACCCTGGGCCTCTGTACACCCTGGTCCTCTGTACACCCTGGTCCTCTGTACACCCTGGTCCTCTGTACACCCTGGTCCTCTGTACACCCTGGTCCTCTGTACACCCTGGGCCTCTGTACACCCTGGTCCTCTGTACACTCTGGTCCTCTGTACACCCTGGTCCTCTGTACACCCTGGTCCTCTGTACACCCTGGTCCTCTGTACACCCTGGTCCTCTGTACACTCTGGTCCTCTGTACACCCTGGTCCTCTGTACACCCTGGTCCTCTGTACACCCTGGTCCTCTGTACACTCTAGTCCCTGTACACCCTGGTCCTCTGTACACCCTGGTCCTCTGTACACCCTGGTCCTCTGTACACCCTGGTCCTCTGTACACTCTGGTCCTCTGTACACCCTGGTCCTCTGTACACCCTGGTCCTCTGTACACCCTGGTCCTCTGTACACTCTGGTCCCTGTACACCCTGGTCCTCTGTACACCCTGGGCCTCTGTACACTCTGGTCCTCTGTACACCCTGGTCCTCTGTACACTCTGGTCCTCTGTACACCCTGGTCCTCTGTACACTCTGGTCCCTGTACACCCTGGTCCCTGTACACCCTGGTCCCTGTACACCCTGGTCTCTGTACACCCTGTTAGTGAGTGTAAGTGTTGGTACTAGAGAACATGTTGGTAATCTTGGACGTGAGTGAATGTTTGGTATTGGTGAGTACCAGTTGATGTCTCACCTAAGTGGCCTTGCGAGATCAAGCACTAGCTCCTGAGCCCCACCTTACTATCTCTTGGTTGTCTGATGCAAGTGACTCCAGACCCTTCTGTTGCTTGCCATATCCTATATGAAAACCCTTTATTGCATTATCTTTAGCTCATCTCTCTCTCTCTCTCCCTGGTTATATGTCGTGATCATGTCTCCTCGATAACCTGATCAGTTAAGGTAGTATATATCAGTGAAGAATGATCTTTTGTTTATTTATTTTTGTTGTATTTTATTTTTGTTGTATTTTATTTATTTATATTTACTTTTGAATGATCTTTGTTTATTTCTCTTGCGGCCTCGTAGCCTGGTGGATAGCGCGCAGGACTCGTAATTCTGTGGCGCGGGTTCGATTCCCGCACGAGGCAGAAACAAATGGGCAAAGTTTCTTTCACCCTGAATGCCCCTGTTACCTAGCAGTAAATAGGTACCTGGGTGTTAGTCAGCTGTCACGGGCTGCTTCCTGGGGGTGGAGGCCTGGTCAAGGACCGGGCCGCGGGGACACTAAAGCCCCGACATCAACTCAAGATAACCTCAAGATCCCAGTTAGCGAACTGAGGAAATGGGAGATACGATAGGAGATCTAGATCATTGGTTACTGTAGGTGAGGGCTCCAATCGTCCCATCCTTGACTGGCCAAGGACGCTACTGGTGGCGAACAAGGCGCTACCATCGCTACTGGGGGCAGACGGGTTCATTCTGCATCCGGTGGAAAAGTAATCAATGATACGGCTGGAGAAATCAGTCAAGGCCTCCTGTGGACGGTCCGGTTGACAGTAATCTGTGACAGCGCAGCATCAGTGAAGCCTCATGTAGCCGCTCAGTTTTGACAGTAATCAGTGACAGCGCAGGGTCAGTCAAGCCTCCTGTAGTCGCTCCAGTTGGCGGTAATCAGTGACAGCACAGCATCAGTCAAGCCTCCTGTAGCCGCTTGGGTTGACAGTAATCTGTGACAGCACAGCATCAGTTAAGCCTCCTGTAGCCGCTCAGGTTGACAGTAATCTGTGACAGCGCAGGATCAGTCAAGCCTCCTGTAGCCGGCCCGGCTGACAACATGGAACGACAGGCGCCACACATAACCCGCTCCCCTGCCCGTCCCACAGACCTTGGACCGTCTCCAGCACCCGTGTCGCCAAGGGGGATCGAACTGCTCTGTTCTGGACACACCGACAGGCGAGAGAGAACTCAATACCTTCCTGTTCACTACATACGAGAACATTTGAATATAGAAAACTACAGAAGACCTGCGCGTCACTTCGAGTCAGTCGGATATTGTAGCCCAGAGGCTACAATATCCAAAAGTGACGTTGGTTCAGCGTTGTTGATGATGATTAGGCGTTGAATTGACGTTACTACTTTGATATTCTGCCCCACTAGGTGTTTATATTCACCCGAGTACATTCATATATATGTCTAACCTACGCTTGAAACAATGCAACCATGTTATAAACGTAGCATTCTTAAGAAAAGGCAGAAATTCCTTTCCACCAGAAGACGAGCACAAGAATTTTTTGTTATCCATTGATGCGAATGAAAATGCAACCAATTAGCAGAGCTAAACTCTATATTTACTTCTATGTGTTTTATCATTCATCTATCATAATTTCCATTTATATATATATATATATAATATATATATTATATAATTACGTCTGAACGCAGTAAACCTAGGTACATTTTTGTTTTATTAATTTTTCTTAATTAGGGTTTAAATATTCTTTATATACAAATTGGAGAAATAAGCTCGAGAGACATGGGAGATGTTCGATAGGATCAAACATTAGAAGACTGAAAATTAAAGTGAAAGGATTTCAGAATTCCCCAGAGGTCATTACTCTCATATTATTCCTGACTTTCCTCCCCGACTCTCCCTCGCGGTAACTTGTCCCTCGACAGAATCCTTGGTGAATCCGATACCTTTGATACCGTTCGCCACATGCGTTTTTGTTCTCGTATTTGCATCCTTTGTGACATTTTGCGCCCTTTGAATATTCTGCGACTTTGATGGTGTTATATAGTCCCCCCTGCTGGAGTGTTTTCTTTTGATAATGACTTAGTTGTTTCTGATTTATGTAAATGATCTTTCGAGAGGGAACAGATTCATTCCTCATTATGCTAACTTAAAAGGAAAGTGGAGAAGGTCCGGAGGTATGCAACCAGACTAGACCCAGAGCTGAGAGGTATGAGTTACGAGGACAGGCTAAAGGAATTAAACCTCATGTCACTGGAAGACAGAAGACATGATTGCAATATATATAAAATTCACATGAGACAATGCAGGACAAAGCACTAACTGATGGGAACGGATGGTACATGAACATTGTCACAGAGAGAATTAGACAGACAAGCACAAAGACAGACAGACAGATACATGAACATTGTCACAGAGAGAATTAGACAGACAAGCACAAAGACAGACAGACAGATACAGACAAAGAGACATGCTTCACTTTCAATTTGCATCCAGAGCTGGTGTGTAACC